TCTCATTACCTCGAGATATTTCGCGAATCAACTTCCTATCTCTCTTATTTACAGGGTGATCTCAAAAAATCAACTTTTTGGTTTTGCAGCCATAACTTTTTTCCACGTCAACCGATTTTAGAAATCTCAGGCTCATTTTGAAGATAAAATTTCAGATTTAGAGATCTGAATATCAGGATTGACTCAAGATGGCTATCAGAGATCTAGAGTTTTCTTGAAAGTGACCCAAATCTGGAACGCCCTCCGAATCTCGGTTGGGAGGAGAATTGAATGAAAATCAGCTTGCTCTCGGAAAAACAATTCATTCAGGATGCGTCCATATTTTCCTCGCTCTCAGTAGTCAAGAATTGTGCGTGAGAAAACATAATTGAAACATGTTCTTGCGAAAACATCAGACCATTTCTCCTCTGTAATGCATGGCCCGTAACCAACGTTACAAGAATCACAATGGACTGACAAACCCGACCAGCTAAGGCTCATCATAAATGATGTACCAACAACCATATGCGGTCTCGCATTGTCATCAACGAGAACAAAGTTGTCACCCACATTCGCTTTAGATGAGGCATCGAAACTATCGAAATCTGTTTATGATTCGAAAACGACGTCTAACCTGACTTGTCAGTCACTTACTGTGATTCTTGTAACGTTGGTTACGGGCCATGCATTACAGAGGAGAAATGATCTGATGTGTCTGATGCAAGAACATGTTTCAATTGTGTTTTCTCACGCACTTTCTTGACTACTGAGAGCGAGGAAAATATGGACGCATCCAGAATGAATTGTTTTTCCGAGAACAAGTTGACTTTCATTCAATTCTCCTCCCAATCGAGATTCGGAGGGCGTTCCAGATTTGGGTCACTTTCAAGGAAACTCTCTGATAGCCATCTTGATCATCTGAAGTTTTATCTTCAAAATGAGCCTAAGATTTCTAAAATCGGTTGACGTGGAAAAAAGTTATGGCTGCAAAACCAAAAAGTTAACTTGTTGAGATCACTCTGTAAATAAGAGAGATAGGAAGTTGATTCGCGAAATATTTCGAGGTAATGAGATCATCTTCATGCCTCTGTTGTCGAAGTTGAGAAAAAATTTTTTTTCACCATTTGAGAGCCATTTGAATATTCCGAAATTTTGCACAGTGTCGGAAAACACCATGTAGAGATTTTATGTGAATACCCTCATGTTTCAATGAAGAACGAGATTATAGCTGAAGGACTGGGCTATCGAACAGTGTGAACCAAATTCAAATTGTTCTGAACTGAAAAAAGTTATTCACATTATAACAGGGGCGACATTTTGGTGTTCGACGAAATTAGTGTTGAGTAGTTTAGATGAAGATTGGCAGACGTTGAAGGACAAAGCAGAAGGTGACCTGCAAATAATTGAAAAATGGTACGAAAATCGGCTATTTACAATGAACATCGATGAAACACACTTTATGCCTTTCACATCATATTCGAAGAACTCGCCATTTCACGAGTCGCTTCAAATGAGGGACAACCAAACGATGGCCGACATATTAACCCTTAATTACTCGCGCTGGTGTATTTTGTTCACCAGCGCCAAATTACTTGCTACCATCGAACGTAGAATTTTTTTTTGTAGCTCTAGACTCCCACCTAACCTATGTCTAACATGTCTGGGATGTGATAGATCAGTTTTGGGTGTGTGTTTGTACGTAAATTTTGACGCGTTGTCACGTTGATATTCGTTGGTGCCCGTTGGTGCCTAGAATACAATACACTGCGTGGGAAATAGGGTAAATTATCTAAGTATTCAATATTGTATACAAACACGTTAGTTGTGATTATATGGAAGCACCAAAAACAGAGTGACTTTTTTTTCTTTTCTTTTTTTATTTCATTTCCTCGTGTGACCTAGCACTGGATCCAACGCCCCATAAGTCGAAACTTGTGCGGGGTTAGGAATGCAAACGTTTTTGTTCCACCTAGAAACAAGTCAAATTCATGGTGGTGTACAAAATACACCGCGCGGGAAAAAGTTCGAATCAATTAGCGCGAGTAATCAAGGGTTGAATATCTGGGAATATTCATGGACTGTAATTTGAAATGGGATGTGCATTTCAATTATGCGACAAAGAAGTTTTGTAGCACATTATCAAAATTCAAATATTCATCGTATGTTCTGAAAATTGACCAACTTCGAATACGGTTGAACCTCATTTGAACTATGGCAGTTTAGCTTGAGGATCTGCTTCAAATTACTACATAAAAAACCTCGAGAAAATTCAGAACTGGATCATCAAGATCATATAATATAAGAAATTATATACTTACCCTACTAATGAACTATCTCGTGAATCACAATTATTTGACGCCCGACTATCGTGGCAACATACCCACAGAGTTACGTTAATACCAATAAACCATGACTATAACACACAACATAAAAATATTTCATCAGCCATACCAAGAACAGAAAAACCACTCTGCAAAGAAGTTATACCTACTTAGGACTAAAACTATATAGCTTCAATCCTCAAGAATATAAGCAATTCAATTCTACCCAATTATCAATTCGAAAATGAAAAAATGGATAAACCAACATCCATGACTCCTCATTCATCATCATTTAGATTCAAAGAATTCATACCATAATTTACAATTTTGAATTTCTTTTTGATTTGCAGCTATTTCTTGGGGTTTGGATTCGGTTTCATAAATAATTCGAGGATTAAGTAGGAAAAAACGTTTCTCTCATCACCATCACCCTACAGTGTAAACCATTATTTTACAGTGCCAATAGTTATTTTTGTATCAAGAGCGCGAAATGCTACTTTGGTGATCGAGATCTGATTTTTTTAACGAGGCGTAGCCGTGTTGAAAAATTAGTCGAGATGACCAAAGTATTTCGCGCTCGAGTTGCAAACAACATCTTTTCTACAAACCTCAAAAAATATTGTTCTAAAGTGGAGATATGCTCAGCTTGATATAAAAAATAGTGTTGAACTGGCTCTAATGGCCTCCCCCTATCCTCCCTAGGTACGCACGAAGTTCCACGAACATAATAGGAATTTCCTTTCGTGCGCTCCAAGAGATGTTTGCTCGATTGTGGACCATTAAGTTGAAATATAAATATCTCATATATTTTACATAACAGTGCGCGAAGTAGGTACTTCGCGCACTGTTTTACTTCGCGCATTGTTTTGTGCAAGGTATCATTGTAACGTAGGAAACTTAAAAAAAGTGTCACTTCGCAATTTGTTATCAATGCGCAAACCTTGTCATTTTTTGACGTTTGTAGAAAAAAAATATTAATGAATTGACAAAGCCCATGGCTATGGGCGAAACGTTTTTTTCTACTTAATCCTCGAATTATTTATGAAACCGAATCCAAACCCCAAGAAAAAGCTGCAAATCAAAAACATAACAGGATTCAAGAAAATCCCCCAACAAACAAATGTTGAAAATGATATATGAAAACAAAATAACCAGAAGATTATTTACTTGTATTTGCACATATACAGGGTCGCTGATATGTATGGAAACAGGTGAATATCTCGGTAACCTGTTGTTGGATTTTTTTGAATTTATGTACTGTGTGATTTCAAAACGTGGCAGATTTGAAGATGTTATAGCCAATGTTGCCACTTTTTCAGCTATACCGGATTTTTCATTAACTTCCTTATTTTGAATAGAACACCCTGTAATTTATTGGATTTTCAGATTCTCCCTGAAGAGCTAATTCCATCGATCTATCACACTTGGGGTCTAGCAGGAATGAATACATAGGTATAGGGTGTTTAAAATCTAGATTTTTCAACTTTAGTATTTTTTTGTGTCGAAACTATTCATTATCGATCGAAACCGCCCAAATGTTCCCATCTTTACTTCTGATTTACTATCTACTGACATTTAATTGAAACAAATACAGGGTGGTTCAAGATTCAGAATTCTGATCACCCTCTGTATCTGTTCCAATTAAATAGTCAGTAGGTGGTAAATCAAAAGTGAAGATAGGAACATTGAAGCGGTTTTGATCGATAATGGATAGTTTCTACACAAAAAAATCTTGAAGTTGAAAAACCTAGATTTTAAACACCCTATACCTATGTAATCATTCCCGCTCGACCCCAAGTGTGATAGATCGATGGAATCAGGTCTTCAAGGAGAATCTGGAAATCCAATAAAGTACAGGGTGTTTCTTTCAAAATAAGGAAGTTACTAAAAATCCGGAATAACTGAAAAAGTGGCAACAGAGGCTATAACATTTCCAAATCCGCCACGTTTTGAAATCACACTGTACATAAATTCAAAAAAATCTAACAACAGATTGCCGAGATATTCACCTGTTTCCATACATATCAGCGACCCTGTATAATTATAATAGTAGTAGTAAAGTAGTAGTATTTCCAGGTCATATCATCTGTCAAGAGTCATGGTGATGATTAGACATATTTCACTACATCACAAGGTTTGCCTTTTGGTGATTTGTCAACTATGACCAGATCTCTGAATATGATATGAGAAATATTATTTCCGTAAATTGTTCCCTATTTCGTCTTCATAATTTTGATTTCACCATCATTACCATTGATATGTAATATATATTCATGTATAGTAGTTTATATCTTTTTATAATCAATATCACTCCCATTACCAAGGTTGTCCTTGTTGGGATGTATGACTTTATTTATCAATTTTTCAATTTTCAGCATATTTTTTTTGTATCATTGTACTCATAGGTGAATACAATCATTATTTTTATTGTTATTATTATGAAATTAAGATTGAAGCTAGAGGAAATCAGAAATTTTAATAAATTAACTATCGCGATTTCATGAAAGTTCTTGTGGTAGGTGTATCAGTAATTAGTATTCCTAATTAGGATTGTTCAATATATCTACAATCAATTTGGCGAGTCCTGAAAAATGATGTTTTTTTTCCGAAATAATATCTCGTTGGGAAGAGATGAAACGAACGGTACGGTCGCCAATGCAAACACGTGTACTTCAGCGGAGATGCGGCTATAAATTACATTTATGGAATATATCCCAAGCTGAGCATCGCTAAAATTGGAAATATAAATTGAAAATCACAGTAAAATTTCGGTGCGGTGGCTCAAAAGCGGCAATAAATTATTTTCGTACATGTTCGCAAATACTGTATAGGAATAATTGGTAGCTGTAGATCTCTTAGTGTCGGTGTAACGTGAGGAGAAATGGGATTTTTTAGTGACTTGTATAGCAGGTGTAGGCGATCAGCTATTGGGTATACAGCGTGGGCCGATTATTCGACCCATTCCAAGAATTAAACTTTATATGAACGTATCTCGTTAAGTCCAACCTACCAACCAACCAACATGTGGGCCAGAATTTGGTTCATTTCAATATTTGCTCCATTTCAAATTAATTTTCGAAAACTAAACTCTCATAGAGCTGCGATCATGTCTGTTCCCTAACAGTGACTCACCCGCACTATGCGCGGTTAAACAATTTATTCACGTTATTTAAGTAATATTTTTCCTCCAACGATGATAGGTTTATCTAGATTTTCAATCAATACTCGGAAACTGACAAAAGCTTTGTTTCTTCTTACAGGTTTTCCTTTTTATAAATTTCTGCTGATGATGAAGGATTATTCCTTCAAAACATGTCCATATGTCCATGACCGTTGGTCATTACATAATAATAATAATGATAATAATCGTCCGTTCCACGGTTAAACATACCTAGAGACCAGGGTGGCCGTGGACTCTTGAGCTTGGAGTATCTCCATAACAGAATGGTTCTGGATGAGGCCTGCAAAGTCATCAGGACTTCGGATCGCCTCCTGCAAATGGTTGAAACCCATGAAGAGGCAGGAGTAGGAGCTTTTCTTTCTAGGGCAGTACGTCGAGCAGCCGATGAATTGTCTCCGATTTTCGACTCCGAGCGCGAGGCTTAGAACTCAGTTACAGAGCTAGAGCCTGCTCGGAGGAAGGCCCGCATCAAAGCTGGAGAAGTGGGAAAGCTCCTGCAGCTTCACATGGATATGCCCATGCATTCGGTCTTCTTCAAGACTATCGAAGATCGGGGCTTATCCAAAGAACTGACTTGCTTTTCTCAAGTCAGGCGGGCTCAAATCGGAAACAGAGGGGTTCATCATGACATGCCAGGATGGGGTTTTCTACACTCTCGTCTACCGTAAACGTGTCATGGGTATGGAGGTCCCTGTCACAAATTGCATGGCCTGCCGCAGGGCGCCCGAGACAATTATGCACCTGCTGTCCTCTTGCACGGCGTATGCAGTCTCGGCTCATATCCATAGACACAATGCGGCATTACGAGTGCTCTACTACCATTTGAGGCACTCGTACGCAATAGACGAGACTCCAATGATGCCCAATGCTCCGGGGGATATTGAGTCCGTTGTGGAGAATGAGAGGTGCCGAATTTATTGGAACTTCTCATTCTCCATCCTCAGGCGAATTCAAGCTAACAAGCCTGATGTAGTCCTTCTCGACCATCAAACCAAAGCGATGTTCGTGATCGAGTTTTCGGCACCAGCCGAACCGAACATCGTTTTGAAGGAGGAGGAGAAACGGACTAAATATCGAGATCTTCTCTTCGAACTCCGCAGGCTCTATCCAGAACATTCTGTGGAATTGGTCATCCTGATAATCGGCTCCCTAGGAGGCACACGACATACGCTGCTCTCGGAAATCCAGAAAATCCCAGCGTGCAGCGATAAAGCACACATCCTGGCTGGTGGAATGCAGAAGGCCGTCATACTTGGATCATTGCGCTTACTCAGGGCACACGGTTCTTGGTCCCTCACAGGCTGTGGGGGGTAGTCACTGGATTTTATCCAGCACGACTCTGCGTGGCGTCGGAGGCCGCAGGGTCGTGACTGGAATTACATGCATTCAAATCATAATAATAATAACAATATTAATTTGTTTATGTGGTGGAGTTGTGACTGTAAGTTCTTCACCCCTCCTGAATTATTGAAACTCATTGAATTCTGCATCTTCTCATATTATATAATTCTCATTTATATATTGTGTATATATCAGTACACTCCTTCGGTGGGTTCGAACTCTTGCTCTCAGTGGTTGTAGAGAATCATGTTACTCTTGTGATTTGTATTATCAAACCAAGTGATTGTGTTATTTAGAAATAAAGAATGATCGCATCGAATGCTATTATATATTCATGGGCAAATCAATGTAATGCAATCAGTTTATGGAATAAATTCGACTAGTTCTACGATATCACTCTTGTTTCAATCTCTCCTTATATACTGTTGAATAAGTTCAAATAGCGGAAGATATCATTTAGCCATAATCCTACAATTTACATATAAATGCTTTAAAATAGCGATTCGTAGCTAATGAAAATTCATTGGTATCCATATTCTCACACACCTGCAATTCTGCCAGTGTGATATCGTTTTATTTTCAGAGCATATTTTAATGGATCTATAAAATTTTTATATCTCCATATTTTAACGGCATCGCATTAAACTGCGATTTAGAGCTTTTTTTATCCAAGATTGATGAAATAAAGTCCAATTCTATCCCAATTTGTGAAACCTGGAAAATGTTATCTAACAATGATTTGTATAACACTTAATCCAGAACGATAAAAAATCCGATTGACTGGCAATGATATACTAGTAAATTGGCATTTCATGAAAATTGATCACAAAATGGGTTTTATATCGAATGACATAAATAATGTTTTATGAGTATTGGAGTTGTGAACTCGTATGCGTATATTTTTACATAAATTCGAGTCCGAGTCGAGAAAAAGTGTCTTTTCAAATTCATTTGGGGTGGAAGAATCTGGAAGATTCAGTTCAGAGAGCTGATTATTTTCCACATTATGCATATCACTGTAAATTCCTTTTTATCAGGAGACGTTTGAATGAGGAACCAAAGAAGAACAGAGTCGAATCAATATTTATTATTCAATGTTGATGAACTACATTTTTGTATCTCTAGAAGCGCACGAGACAAAATCCCTATAATGTTCCATGGAACATCTTGCGTACTCACAAAGGAGTGAGAGATCGTAGTTATTGTACTATTTCGAAGTGATAACTTCTTTATAGTGTAGGCCCATAAGCAGGAAATCCATCTCTATAAAGTGCAAGAAGCATTTCATGTAACCATTGAGGAAACAATGTTTTCAAGATATTTCGACCCCGCTGAATACGAATCTACCTGTTGCCAAAGCGAAATTTGGACTAAAGTCTGGTATTCAAGATGGCGGTCAAGATAGCCTACAAACCTATGTTCCCCTATTATATCTTCATTTTCACTCGGCTTGAAATATTGATTTGAACGACAGCTCAGTTCAAAACTACTCGGTGCGGACAGTGTAACTAGCGCCTTCTATGAGAGTCAGATAAAAAAACAAATGCATGCGATGTGTCAGATCTCAAGAAATATCCATAAAGAATTTCATCACAATGTTGCCAGTAGTTTCGACATAATCTTGAAAAATGTGAAAATGTGAAATTTTTTTTTCATGACCTTGTATCTTGATAACGGATGCCGTTACGAAATTTTTTCGCTAACTCATTTTGCAGTGTTCTACCTACCCTAGTGAGAGGGTCAGGTTTTTTTAAACACCCTGTATACCGTTTCACTTTTCAGTTCTGAAATGAATCATAATATCGATGATTTATTGTAGTACCTGTCTCTAGACGCTAGCTATCAACAACGAAGTTCCATGGTTCTGATTGGTCTGTACTCATCAATTCGAAGAGCAGCCCGCACATAAGTGTGAGCCATTCTGCAACTGTCAAGTGTCAAGTCCTATTATATGGTAATGGTTACTCATGATAGTAGTCACTGCTGAGGAACAGTGAATTCTCATTTTTTCGTGTATTCGTAGAATTAAGGTGATTTGATCTATGAGAACCATGTAAAGTGAGTGTGCATTAGTAGAACTAGTAGAACGAATTACTACCTAGTTGAATTTTACAAGACGATGGGATGTACTATTATAACGCCATCCTACTGTCATTATTACTCTTATTACTCGATGCATCACAATAATGACAGTCATTAAATATTGAAAATCGAGTTAGCAATGTATGAATGACTCTATAGTTGTCGATAAATCAAATTATTGAACTAGCTTCCATTGAAAAATGCCAGCTAACATTACTAATTAGTTATTTATGCAACAAGTGCAAAAAGTGAATGTTCAACACTTCGAGTGCAATAAAAAAATTTTGCACGAGTTGCATACAACATTTTTTCTACATTCATGCAAGAAGCAAAAAATAATTTATTGAGGTGCGGCACTCGGTGTAGGAAAATGAAAAACGCAACTTGAATACTTTATTATTAATATCGATTTGCATTGAAACAGGAACTAATACGTTACGAACAATTTAACTCGAACTTTATTCTTACCCTCAATGTTGAAAGTGAATGAACAATTGGTGCAATTTTTAATGTGAATATATGACGTTTCTGAAACCACAGTTGCAGTATGATAGTATATTATGTTACAAGTGTTATAAACGTCCTTTTAGTTACGAGTAGTTTAAGCACGAGCGGAGCAGAGCGGAGCGAGTGTTTAATAAACACGAGTGTCTAGAAGAGTTTATAAACGCGTTACATACTATGATTTTTCTACGAACTCCGAAATTTACATGAACACACCTGCAATTCTAGCTAACCTATATACATGATGATTCGAAAGGAATGGGAATTGAGAACATAATAAACGCAACTGCATGCAACTAGCGAGACGACACGTATGAGTGATATTGGTTGTAGATGTGTCTAGTCCATTGCTTACTAACCTTTGTTTCACGTTTATTGGCATCCTTAGCGCAGAATAAATAAATTGTTCTCAAAGATGGATGCTTCATTTTTGCACTTCTTGGAGATATGCAAGTACCAGAACATCTGATACAAACGAATATTGTTTGAATAATTCTGATACAAAATTCAAAAATAACAGTTGAAACAATTGACAGGCCAGACATGTCTCAAATTACTGAAGCTGTGTTTAATGAACTGCGTTGCCATGGTGATGTGTTTAAGAAATCGTGTTGCCATGGTAACGTGTTTAATATTTTGAATAAATCACAGATCGTCCATCCGTGATTAATCGATCATTTAGCGTGGTACATATCCGTACGCTGAATGCCATTTTAGTTATGTGAGTAGAAAAAAAAATTTTGTCATGATGACACCACGTTGAAGTAAAATGACAGATGAGTGCAATAAAGAACTTCTTTTTCCACTAAATATAGTTCAATAAAGTTCTGCTATTTGCATGAATGTAGAAGAACGTATTTTTCTCACAAACTCATATTTGTAATATAACTCCTTCTTCCACTTCTCCACTCAGTTTTGGCATTATTCCGAAACCATGACGGTCCTATGCATACTGAGGATATTGCCTCAACCTCGATCAGGGAAAATGCATACTCACTGGGGAACTTGTAGAAAGGCACCGAGATACAACTAACTCCGTGGATCGTCCTTGTTCCTTGATCGTGTTGTCCCGGAGTACATGTGCACATGGAATTGAAACCGCAATTGTCTGATGACAGGCCGTCACATTGTAACAGGAGCAGAATCAGGATACCCCACACCGGTAGCATTGTACCTACGACAAATTCCAATGTTACGCCAGTAAAAATCGACACAAAATATCGCCAGATTCGCAAGAAATGATGTTTTTCTCCGATTGGCAGCAAATATTAATTTTGCTGACACATATCAATCAGCAAAGTATCACTTTTCCTGGCTAGGCAGCAAAGTGAGTAATTTGCTGCCTAGGCAGCAAAGTGGTTACTTTGCTGATCGATATGTATCAGCAAAATTAATAATCCATAAATTGTTCATAATTTCCTTCATATTTCATTCGAGACTTCTCCGGCAACGAATTCAACTCTATATTTTTTGCCACCTCCCTTATTTCTGGAGGTGTAAGTACTTTCAGGTCGCTTTCACTGTCCATTATATAATAATTTAAATATACCAATATTTTTTCGCACAACTGTCAGAATTTCCATGAATTGTCAAACTATAATTATCATGGACAACTGCGATTTCTATCAAATTTCATTTTAATTGAACACTACAGGAAAAATAAAGAGATTGTGGGAATTGTAATCCAATTACAATATCCTCCTATATCATTATGAACAATCGGAGAAAAAATTATATGTTCAACTCGGCAGCAAGGTAGATTGACTGCCTTAGCTGAACTCCTAGCCTCGCTACGCTCGGCTATGAATTCAGCCTCGGCAGTCAATCTACTACTTTGCTGCCTAGTTAAACAAATAACTATTCTTCGATTTTTTACCACGCTGTTCGGACCCATCAGGGTAGTGTATATCCAAGTTTGCAACTCTCTGAAATTTGTTGAAAAAGTATTGGAAACAAAAAACCGCGAGAGTTTTGGACTTTGCACAGTTTCTTCTCTTTATCCCCTGAACTAAGCATTTTTCGATGGGAGCTATTATACAGGGTGTCCGCTGAAAGGAGGTCAATCCATCAACGATATATCCCTTGAACAGAAACAATATGAGTTTCTAAATACTATTTTTCATTTTAGCCCTTCATATTCGATATAAAGGTTGTTAAAGTAGGAAATTGAAAACTGTTTTTTTCTAATTACTCGCGTATTTGGTAAGATATCAATATCAGAATTGGTAAATTACTACAGCACACAGAGTAACATCGTGTGAGGAAAACAAAACAGAAAATAACTGACAAATATTCAAAATAATGAGTGTCAAGTAGTAGTCTAGTGAGTGTTCAATATGCACCACTCCCGATGATCTGAATCGATGCAGAAATTCAAGATGAATGAATTGTAGGTGGGAACTAAATATATGCAACAAAAAAGTGATTCCATACATTTATGGATAAATGCGATTCTACGTTATATCGGGGTGTTTGAAATTGTGAGAGAACTGCGAAACCTACAGAACCCGTCTTATGCTCAATACTCAATACTCATAAGGTCAGTGGTTTACCTGCAATTTTGGGGTAAAGAAGGTGTAAAACTGAAATTTCCACTATTTGGAAAAAATGCTGATATATTTACGAAGCTTTCATTGGGCTTTGATTGTCAAACATCCAACGTTATTCAAGAACGTTTTCAACAGCTTTCGAAAAAAAAATAGTTCAGGAAATATAAAGCAAAAACTGAAAAAAGTTTCACGCTTTTTTGTGTGCTTCACTTTTTCCACAACTTTTAGAGAGTTGCAAACTTGGGTATATACTTCCCTACTGGGTTCAAACAACATACTAGCAAATCAGAGGTGAGAATAAGTTTTCATGAATGATAATGAGACCAATCCAAAATCTTTATCATCTTCAAATTCTGTGGCTGAGAGAAAGCACTTTGGAAGAGATGCCAACTGGTTAAGTTGTTTTTGTTTGAAATATACATTCCAAGATCTTTCCTAACGCCTTGGAGAATATCAACGGATTCTCCATTACCAATAGAAGATTTCTTTCTAGTTTGTTATTGAGGTTCCTCTTAACTGTAGTTTCAGCATGAATAATGGTTTCTATACTTCACGCTATACACTCTATGGTTTTTTTGTTGTTTTATTTTGGTAGTTCGGTCAGAGGTCGAAATGGGCAGAGTCCATACCCAGCGAGCACAAAAACATCTCAGAGATGTTAAAATATTGAATGAATAGAACTATTATAGAACAGCCAATATCCGCCGCAGGCGGAAATTATCGAGATGTCCTTGATATGTCACAAAACTACTTTTTCCCTAGTTCTTTTTAAAGCCTTTTCATGGACACAACAAAACATTTTCAAAGCGTCTTGCGCACATTAAATCGCTGTAAAAAAACATTTTCGAGGTACTTTTCTGAAGCCTTTTATCAAAATGAACTTTTGCATTAGGATTCCATTTCCCTTGAATGAAAAAATGCATTAAAAATAGATTGAACATAAAAATATTTTCTTGATATGAAATTACTTTCTTAATCGGTTTCTGAGTAGTGCTTACTACACACAGACATATAATTGGAAATAGGTTTCCCAATTTTTGAAATGTTCTCCACAATGCATAATTTTGCAACTGCGGAGAAGCTGTGTATCGATAAATTCGTACTTTCATAAATTGATTACACTGAGGCACCGAACAACACATCTTGCATCTGATGGTCATTATTACAAACTAAATAAGTCTTCTAACACAATAAACTTCACCAAATTCCTTTCTGTTCGTTAGCAGCGTGATGTAAGCGTGACACGCTGCAAACGCGAATGCCAATTGCGAACAAGAAGAACAAGATCGAAAACAAATCAGAATTCATCGTATTGTGACGTAAGCATGAGACGTTGTGGTGGTGCAAACAAAGAAAGGGCACAAAATAACAAAAACAATACTAAGACCTCTTTGGGAAGTGCATATTACGCCTTAAAAAAACATCCTCATGCCCACATTTCTAAAACATCCCAAAACATCCCAGGGATACCTCTCAGTAGGCAAACAAAGAAATGCCACAGAAGAACAAAAACAATACTTCAACTGTCTTTTCTGTACTCCTGTTACTCATACTTTTGTTCTCTCTCTCCTACTGCCATCAGCGTCATTATTCATAATATCCATAATCCAATATTCATAATATATAAAATTTCATTATTTACTCATTCTGAATTTATATTGTATTCTTTCATTTCCTGCACTAAGTATTTACATATAGATATTTAATTTTTATTGTATTTTGGCGGGTACTGGCTTTGTACGGGTATGTTTTGGAAAATGTTTAAAATTTTACACAGGTTAGGTGGTAGAGCAGGGCTCCCCCTTGGGGGAGTACCTGAACCTCGCCTGGGACATTATAATTTTTTTTTCAATTTACTATGTTGCAAATCTTCTTGTCCAATAAAGACATTATTATTATTATTATTATTATTATTATTATATCCTTCAAAGACCTCTCAAAATAACATCTTCATGCCAACATTTTCAAAACATCCCAGGGATGTTTGTGCTCGCTGGGTACCTGTACCAAAGGAGTAGCATTGTAATATTGTTTCGTATAAGGATTCACCGCACAGGGTTTGGAGTATAGACAATCGATTTCCACACTGTTAGCTACGACTATGAAATACCTATAAAGTAATACCTACATTATTCCTGACTCTGAAATAGCCACAATGCTCAAAGTGGAATGAAATGATGAATACTAAATAAACAACAATGGTAGATTTCGGGTGAAAAACAAATACTTTCCTGGCAGCGACTCGTGTTATCGAATAATTCGTTTATACTACTGCGGCTACGCCTGCCCTATATTAATATCAAATAAGATTATCAACTGCTGTAAGGTTCGGTAGATGGCCTCATTCATCATTGGGTTTGCTTCCGTTTAACTCATTAATGAAACATTTTAGATGATCTTCCCTACAATAGCCAGGCTTTGAATAACTTGAGGCACTCGAAAATATCTGATACTAAATTATAATATACTAACTCGCGAAACCAACTTGGAGCTTACACACTGAACCAAATTAACATAGTTTTCGTGTTAGCCAGAAACTTCTGACAAACGGACGATCTACAATCCTTAAATATTTGAAGGTGGCGCAGATAGGTATATACCGTGGATGTGCATAATATTGCCATAACCAGAAGCGCAAACTGCCACTATTTGTTTACGTACTACACAGCAAGGATATGGACATTTTTCTGGGTTGGTTGTTGGTTTTATGAAATGAGTACAACTCAAAGAGCATTTGACGTATAGTGTGAACCTGAAAAAATAATTGAAAAGCTATTGGAAATTGATTGGTCAGGATAACAGTAACTGGCATCATAGATCGAAGATTGAACCAGCCTATACTGTCGCAGACAAAAATAGTCTGTATTTGACATTAATGCTGAGCCAACATGCTGGATGATGTGGAGAATTCTGACCAACAATATATTACAGACAGCATGCCTAATACAGGGCGGCGCAATGGGTATTGACGGTTTTTGAACGCCACTGTTCGAAAATAAGAAAAGGAGAGGGGAGAAATTAGGGCGTACAATATACTAGCGTCTAGCGCAAGGAGGTATTAGTATAAACAACGTAGTGGGAGAACCGCTCAAGTGAGACGCGGACGCGGACAAACATCACCTATGCCTTCACCTATCGACATGCCCGACGAACGTTGGAGCGAAGGAATATATATACAGTATGATGCAGGAATAAATTCATTTCGAAACGAGACGACTTCCGAAAAAAATCCAAAAAGTAGAGTTCAGAACTTTTTTATCGATGTATTTTTTCAACTAGACGACCCTTCGATGTTCAATTCTCAGTAGAAGATCTCTGCAAGATTCAGTTAACCAAATGATAATCCATTTTAATTTCAATCTTCTTTTGCAAAATTTTGACTATTGGATATAGACGATCAGTAGACCTTTCAAACGAGGTGTCACATGACCCCTGTTTGTATTTAAAATAACCGTCCATTACGTAATTACTCCAACACCGGTGACGTAACATTTCTCATATGAATGTCATGAGATGAGGTTTAAAAAATTAAAACTCACGTGTTTTTGGAATATCTTCAAATGTCGCCCATTTCTGAAATAATGAATTTATTCCATACATTTGCATCATACTGTATATAGAACTT